GACGTTTATTACTGTAAAAAGAACTCATTATGAAGTTCAGTTTCTCTTTATTTGCACTGATCGTGTTATATTTTTTTGTGTGTTTTTTACATGTTGTGATATTGAATATGTACAGTACAGTGTATATTATAATCAGATATGAAAACGTCTAAATYTGTGGCTGATGTACATTGGATATTYAAATGTTTGATGTAAAWGCTCACGATCCCTGTTATGGGGCCCTTTMTTCTAGTAATGTTGAAGAGAAAATCACTATATTTCTTAAAAGATCTGCTTGCAATTTTTATAATCTAAATGTAGTGTTACAAGAGTCAATCTTTTTCAATCCTGTMGTGCGAATCAGTTTAAATAGTAATAAATACAAGATAGGTTCAACTTGGCGCAGTTTAAAGAAACAGTTGYAGTCCTTGCATCTTTCCTCTCCACAGCCACGCAGCGAATCTGTCTAATCTGCTTTAAAATGTATCCTATCTGGATCAGTATAAAAATTGCTGCCTCACACAACTTAAATATCATAAGGCCATGGAGTACATTTCGTATATACACACACATATGCGGTTAATATTTACAGAATATTTTACACGGCTGAATCGAATACACTATCGTCTGTTTCGCAGTCTGAAACTACAATTTCATTGAGAAACATTTCATGTAATTGTCGTTCAAGTTCTTCTTCAGGTGGACATTCAACGTTGTTGTTGTTGATGTTGTTGATTGTTTCTTCATTAAGTTCTTTCCCCAAATGTAGTCCTTCGTTATTCTCGGTGTCAGTGAATTCCTAAATAGTAGATTCATTGAATTACTTCAATTGTTTCTTTTTCTTTCTTTCATTCTCCCTTTCTTTTTCTTTTCTTTCTTTTTCCTTTCTCCTTTCTTTCTTCTTCTTTTCTTTGCGTCTTTTTCTTTTTTCTTTTTTTGAGAGAGAGATTCTTATACTATATCTCATGTTCTCTGAATGAGTGCCGTGGTTGTTATTTTTATACGATGAGCTCGATACTTGGCCGCAAGAAAGTGGGTGATGACCGACACATGAGCCTGAGATAATGTTACCTTACAGTACACTGCCATGATAATATAAACTACTGATCCCATATGCAATCACAAATATAACTGCCGGACACGGAACAAGGGCGGTTCCAGGTTTTTATTCGAGTTTAGGGAGGTGTACAAGTCACCCCAAAAAAAGTTTTATTGAAAAAAATATCGATATATTTGGAAATACCTGACCCACTGACGCATCTCTTGACTCGCTTTCACAGTTTTGATCCTCAGATTTTAATACGTCACAATCATCATCGGGAAAACAAGCGGTAGAATCATTACTAAAGCATATTAGATTACGAGCATGACCTGCAAGATATATAATATCGTTAATTCACTCTAGAAATCTGATTAAAGGCACTGCTAAATAGGTGCAGCAACGCCATTGTGCACAAAGCATGATGGGAGTTGTAGTCCTTGCAAAATCTCGCTAAAAGCCGTTTAAACATTTTCTTTATAAAAACAACACACTTACTTCATTTTACTCAAAAAGAGCAAAAACGACTCAAGACGGCTAGTTAAAAGGACTGATGAAAACGTGCGAAGACTATGACTCCCTTCAAGACTGTACAAAATGGCTTCGCAATTGCCTATTCAATATATGTAGCTCGCTACTGACGTCGTCGCGCGCTTACAGAAAGCAAATACTAACACCATGTAAAACTTAAGTCTTTCAAAAGTACAAAATATTAATGATTTATTGTTTTTAGTGGTCTAATCTACACTATATACTGCGTTATCTACCACTAGGAATCATACCTTCATCGGGGGGCAGACTTATCTCCTGRCTGGGATCGACGTTAACATAGGGGCGATCGTCTTCTTCCATGTCTAACAACGATTTCTTTAAAAATTGAAAAGACGGTCTTTCGTCTGGGTTTGCTGACCAGCATGCTCGCATCAACTGATATCTAAAGACAATCATTTTAATGTTGGGAATACAATTCCGCTTGTTTGAAAAATTTAATCTAATGGTGAACCGCTAAGCACAGTTGTCACAGCATCTTTGAAATATAGACAAAAATTTACACAATTTTGTAAATAGAGGATCCAATTGAGAAAAAAAAAATGAATTTAAAAGACTAAAAGAGAAGCACTCGCATGAAGCTCGCCAAGTGCCTCTCATAAATAGCCTTTCTCTATAGAAAAGGGTAAGAAAACCTTACATGTCTTCTGTGCAGTTGCTTGGTTTCTCCATTCGGTGGCCATCCAATAGAAACTTGAGTAGATCTCTATCGTTGACTGTTGGGTAAGGGAATCCCCCTGGAGAACAAGCAAATTGCAACATTGTGACCTATAATCGTTGCCAAAATACCTTGGACCGTACAATTATTTGTCTCCAGCCTAACATTTTTCTCCTTTATTTAGTCACAGTTTTCCCCCGTAGCCCCCTTTCATCAATGTTGGGTCTTGTTTTGGATGCTTGTGTACTATGGTAACATGATCAATGACAACATTGCATTAAGGGGGTCAAGGGGGGTGAAATTTTCTGCGGGTGTTGCTTAAAATGAGGAAATTCGCTGGGATGGTCCAAGGATTTTGTCAACGATTGTAGTTACTCTCTACATACACGAGAAAAATAAATGAGCATTCTAAGGATCATTACCAAGAGTGCAGATTTCCCATAGAACAATTCCAAACGCCCATCTGAAATACAGGATAAAAGTATCTGTCTCAATAACAGGCAACATCATCAACAGGAACTTCACCATCCTACACCTACTTGCAGAAACGTTGTCATAGGAAATAGGACTTTTGTATTTAGTAAAAAGGAATAAATTAAAAAGACAAAGGATGATAACTGAGGCTGAACGCTTTCTTTTGTCTTGTTTTAATTAATTCCTTTTTACAAAATTCAAATGTTCTATTTCTATGACAACGTTTCTGCAAGTAGGTGTATATACACAATGCATCAAAATATATTACTGTATAATAATTATTATTATCCACCAAACTATAGGCTATTATAAATCCAGCATTTTGATTGGCTACCGAACTACGGCATATTCATGATAGACCATGGTCGCGTCGAATGAAGAAAAAATAGTCGAAAAACTTCGAGCTYTTTATGGTCCCTTTTTTCAAATTTGTACATAGTTTCGATGRGTACTGAAACAATTATGCCACTCAGTATCGCGTTGGACTACGAGTAGATAATCCATTTGGCCAAGTACGGAGTTGTGGACTGTCAATTGGTCGAAATTGGCGTGTTCCTTTCGACCTCGTAGTCTAATTGTTTATCATTCAAATTTACGAGTACCCAAAACCCCCTTCAGCCTTAGCTTTGATGAATTCAGCGTTTTAAGCCCAAAGTTTTTCAATCGGTTGTATACTAAGTATTTAAGTCTCAGTTTAAAGAATTCTTACATGTCGCTCGCCGTAGAATAAATACGATCCCTGATTGCTTCGAGAGATAACCACCGCAAGGGAATTTTTCCATTGCTTCGCTTTACATAAACGCCTTCTCGTGAGAGTCCAAAATCTGAAATCTTCAAAACTTTGTCTTCACCGACCAAGATGTTCCTCGCTGCAAGATCGCGGTGAAGGACTCCCTTTGATGATAAATAGTCCTAAGATGAAAATTAAATGATAATATTATTAGAATTTATTAATAGATGGGATTGGCTTTTTCTTTTTGACTSTTTTGATCTGATGACCCATAGCTAACTGACACTATATGGGTTGAAGTCGAGTATACGTTTAAAATCCATCTGCTCTTTCAGACAGAACGCGAAAAAGATAAAAGTAAATACATTGACAATAGTACTATAGCATTTGAATTTTAAAAAACATAAACCGATGAGCCTAAAKGATCATGGTAAATGATAGTCCTTTAAACCACCTGAACACGACTCTTCAGCCGAATCGAAACAGTATTTTGTGTTAGAATTTAACTCAGTTTCTTATTATCATCACTAACCATTCCACATGCTATTTGATAGGCAAATGATTCCAGCTCACTTGAGTCCAGTGCCCCGTCCAACGAGACACGCTCTGAAGGGAATGGACTAGGTCGCTTTTTATTTGTCATTCCTGTTACTGAGGGGAAAAAACATACAAACCGACATTATAGCCTTAGTAGCGTGTTTACAATTATTACAACACACAGGCAACAATCAATTACAAGAACAACAAAACAGAATAATTCTGTTKAAATGATTTAAGTGACATAGAGTTCGCTGTATAAAATATGCTTAAGTTTACGTCCTGTCACTGATAAGATTTAGTGTCAYGTTCGCAAATTGTTTTCTTACTTTTCCACAATCAATACATATACACGAATGTTTGTTTTCACTTACATGTAGTTTCAACGGTTTGGTTTGTTAAGCCAGAAGAGTCACCAGGAAGACGTTCAGTGCTACYTTCATTCCTCCCAACATAAAGTAAGTTAATCTCCTTGGAGTTTCTCCTTTGACTGCTAAACATATTTAGAAGTTCTCGACCAAGGTTACCAACTGAAAACGACCTGTGCTGTAGAAAAGACGGTAAAACGTACGGTGAATCCATGTGTAAGGCTTTATAAATAATAGGCGATTTGCACGATGGTGTTTCATACTAACAAGACCAGAATGTTCTGCCCGCTTTCTTTTGTAGTGTAATTATTCCAACCGAATGCCTTTCGAGGTTGTTATTGAATTTTAATCTATCCTGAGGATTGGTGGAACAATCAGGGACTAATTACATTACAAAAGAAAGTGGACAAAGCATTCTGGTCTTAGTAGTATATGACGCTATCGTGAAAATCGCCTTTTCTTGAAAAAGACATTAGCCCTTATTGTTATAATCCCAGTTAACTACCAAAAATGATTTTATTTTATTATTTATTTACCAATACAGCCTGTCCCTCACAAACGAGGATTAATGGCTGGGGGGTCAGTATAACAAATTTAGTTTACAGGGAGGTGATTTAAACAKATTAATTTTTCTTTAAAAACAGTCAGTGAGGACAGATTATTGAACATAGAGGCAGGCAGATTGTTCCATTGAATTATTGAATCATGAATCATGAATCATGAATCATGCAAACAATGGACGGCTAAAATGCAGGATCTTGGGTTTGAGTATTCTATATTTTGACCTACCCGTTCAGTGCTTGGTGAAGGAACATGACGATTATTTGGGCTGTTTGTTCCCGAAGAAGCTTCTGCCGACTCAGTTTGAAGAAAGAGGCTCTTCTTTTTCTCCATCTCAAACTGATACAAATATATATATAAATATTAAATTGAAGTCTAAAATGTCTACGTTTCGATGTCTTTGATTTTTGTCAAGTTAGTCTGCATAGCGGCTCTAGGGGAGGGGGGGAGGGGTAAGGTGAAGGAGAGGGGGGTTGGGGAATCACAACCCTGCCCTTCTCTTCCCCCCTTCCCCCATCCCCTAAAGCAGCTATGCAGGCTATTGTCAATTCAGGTTTTATTTCAATTGGCGTGAATGATATTATCGACTCCGAAGGGTCGTTGCAATGCGCACAATGAAAACAAATCATGCTTCTGTAATAAGTAAAAACTTAACTTTTCACTATTTTTCTTAAATTTTGCGATTATGTGCAAGACTCAAAATATAAACAAATTATAAGGTGCCGCACGCACGTCTTCTAAACGTGTGCAGTGGATTCTCCTAAGTGTTACATTGACCATGCATTTACCTTTTTTCGTAAGCTCCGCAGATAATGTAAAAGATCGCCATGTGGCGCGTATTGTACTAATAGACAGATAGGTTCGTACAGAGTACAACAGCCAAGTATTGAAATGACATTCTCATGTTTTCCAATAGTCTTCATAAAGTTGATTTCTGCTTTGAAGTCTTCTTTCTCATCTTGTGATGCATTATCTGAAAAAACAAAAACGTATTCAGCAAAAGACTTTGTTTAAACACACTCTAGTGTGTAGCCATCTTAGTTAYTTTTCCTCAAAAGCATTTTAGGATAACGTTCATTTCGCAAATTCGTCCTGATCTTAGTCTTTTTATTTTTTTATTAAAATAAATCCGCCATCTTGATACTCTTTTCGATACCATAATGCACCTCGTCAGACCAATCATGACGTCATAGTAATGAAAGGGACCATATTAGTAATGACAAGTGAGGCCCGAAGCCAAAGTGTACCTTTAAGTATTTTAACTGCAACAACAGATTTATCAGGATTGCCGTTCATGCCGTATGCATCAGCAATAAACACGTCACCAAAAGCACCATGACCAATCTTTCTGCCCATTACAAGTCTATGGAATCCAAACTCGTATTCATCTGTTTCACCAAGTCTTATTGCTTCTTGTATCTGCTGCTCGACGTATGCAGGGTTAAGCTCCAGACCTCCGTTGATACATTTTGGAGGGAGATGAACCAGTAGACTGGAACTAGAAATTTTTTTTACGTTTGATGAAATTAAGAGGATTTAAAAGGACATTGAGATTCACAAAGAATACTTATTCGAGATACTACCATTTCTCCCTTATTAGCTACCTATTTTCAAAATATTGTAATCATATAATACCATTCATTGATGAGGGTTGAATTCGTATCTATATTCCGTTGATAGACATGAGGTAGTTGAGAGCCTTCTGATGTCGTTTCGTTCCGCCGTCGAAGCTGCAGACCAGGTGGGGTTCGAGGAACCAACGTTGGTTTGTTTTTGATTCGTTTGTAGACAAATAGTAAGATAAGTAAGACGGCAACGACAATGACAATCGTTGGGACGACGATCGATACTACAATCAATGCAGTGTCTCTATTGGCGTCAGTGGACCCAAGAAGTTCAGCTGAAAAAAAACAACAAGAGACAATAAGATCTTACTGTAATTCACTGGAAAAAAGAGATGAGATGAAGACCGTTGAGCGTGCAATGATAAATATCTGTGAATAATATGCAGGATTGAAAGAATGCACGCTCAATAGTCGTCTCGCTTTCGATGCAAAGGCATGGATACCCGCGGAGGGGACTATTACTATGTCTTCCCATGATTCCTTTCGGTATTAGAGCTTTTTTTAACAGGTTTATTGGGCAAAAACTTACAATAAAATCTGAACAACAACAAACAACAACAAAAGAAGAAACGATAATAAGCCCAACAGGATGAGCACGAACGGGAACAGATCCCATGCGAGGAGCTACCCTTTGACTATAAAACGAGACAAAAACAAAATATTAGAAAAAGAATAAATTAAAAAAAAACTAACTAGCTTCAATGTAACCTCTCAGTTCTTCTTTCAATTAGTCGTATAGTATAGACCGGGAATATAGATGAATGAATAACATGCTGTAAGGGACGAACCATTGAACTTTGGAGGGGGGGGGGGGGGGGGGGGGGGGGGGGAAAAAAAAAAAAAAAAAAGCCATCTTCACCAAAAAAAAAAAAAAAAAACCATCCTAAGCCAAAAAAAAGAGAAAAAAAAATCATCCCCCCCCCTCAAAAGTTAAATGGACCGTCCATAAATCAATGGAACAGTGCTTTGAAAAAACTAGATATTTACCAATCTTACTGGTAGATATTGTTGGAAGATTCGTAATCAAAGACGAGTTACTAAATGTTGTAGTTTGATGAGTGGTTGTCATAGGACCTATTTAGGCATAAACATATATAAATATCTCATAAATATAAAATATCAATCATATTTTCTGGTGTTGGAGCTTTACATCACATGGTGGACATGTTTCAAGACAAAATGAAGTACATCTATACCTTCGATGGAGAATATTTCTTGGTTAGCAATTTCGCAGCCCGAAATATCGAAAGCACCGATCTACAAAGGAAAACGTGCACTTTGAGCAGTTGTGAACACAAATATTTATCAAACGAGATAACTTAGTTTTCCTTTAGTAGTGGAAATGGCAGAGTTGGGTAGACAAAACCATTTAAATGCACAAATCTGTCTTTTTCAGCCTTCAATGTACAAGCCCAAACAACCTATTATAACTTGAACGCTGTTTAGGTGGGGATACAAATACATTTGAGTATACAAGAACCAAGAATCTCTCGACCATGCCACCCTATCCGCGAGTTATCCCTCAAGGCTGTGAGGGGCCAAAGGGAACCCAACATTAAAACGCAAGCCATAAGATTGACATTTTATTGTGGATAATTTTGCCGCTTTTTTGTTTGTTTTTAAAAGATTCTTTGATACATTAAAAACAGACATTGTACTCACCTTAATGTAGGACCGGCAATTTCTTTGAACGCCCACAAAAGTTACCTTATAGGGAGCTACCTGAATACCAATATTTCAAAATATGAATTTATTAACATGAACCAAGGGCCATAGTCCATCAGAATTCAATGTGGTCGTGTATCTTCAATATCTTCATTCATGGAACATGAAAGGATAATAAAAAGTACGTTTTTTCTTATATTACAATGTAATTTTATTTTCAAACATAAACAAAAGCTCGAAAGGGATGCCGGGGGACCATGACCCATTAATTGTTGTAACATTAAAAGATCTGAGTCTTCTTCAATTTCAGTGTTGTAGCAACTAGACCTCTGAAGCTTTTTCTTCACCGTATACGCAATGCAATTGTAGAATATGTTTGTGGCAAAACATGACGGATTTGTTTTGTTTTCTCCAGAAACTGATCCCACAATGCATCGCAACTCAAGTAGGTGACGTTATTGCTTCAGAAGTAACAATGCGCTTAAGAACTAGGGAACTCTCTATTGTTCTGYGGCATTGCAACTTYCCCACRTACSAATGTCTTGGTTTTCACACTGATTATATATCAACCTATGGTTAACATATTTTTGAAATAAAATGTGGGTGAACTCTATTTTGAAACAAAGTTTCTTTTGTATTAAAACCTCTTATCCAATCATAAGCACTCAAAACAATAGCCAAAAGAAGCTTCTAATTTGCTATGTTCCCCACATAGAATTGCCTTAATATTGTAGCTAAAGAAAGCTTTCATGAAGTCGGAATCAGATATTAAATAGAATATTAGAAAATGCTCTAATTTGTGAAATTATAGCAGATTTTCTTGTTTTTAAACCAATGGGATGGATGGATTATACAATGCACAATTAGCACCTTCTTGCATTCCTTTGCCGTTTGCTTCCCTAGTTCTTACTCGGGCCATTACTTAAGTAGTTCAAAAAACAGGCTAGTCACGTGTTTACCTTTCCTGTTACATTCAATAACCTCGCCACGTTTGGACTACTGCATTTCCCAGAGACGATTGTCGAGAAATGCAACATCAACGCTATCCTACAGAGGCAAAGGTTCTTGTAAGCTGACTTAGTAAATTAGTCGTTTGACAACATTCCTACCTGAAGAAGACAGCCTTTCCTTCCCAGGGTTCATTGCTCCAACTCAAAGTAATATTGGTATAGTTTGATCTGACTGGCTGATAATTGGATACAGTGACGTGTTCGGAGTTTGGAATGTCATCAGGGACTGGTTGTGGCCTCCAATCTGTAGCTGAAAAGGATATTGATTCTACTATTGTAACGGTGTAAAATTATCAAAATTAAATGACAAAATACACATTTTCTTAAGTCGTGGTGCATTATGGTCTAGCTTCTGTATAGATAACACCACATCACGTCTGCAAGAACAAAATTAAGATTGCACCAAAAAGCTTAATGCTATTTCAGAAAAGCCCTTTCCATGGCTACCCTTTTCTTTTGCCTTTTGAATCTGCATGAAACGATTAAACATAAGCAGCCTCGTTATCGATTATTTACTTCTTCAAATACCACCGACAATCAAATATCACAATAACATTTGAACTTTGGGAAAAACTAAGGAAAAGATAAAGAGACAACGTACTTATAAAGAGGTATGCTTGTCATCTTAGAATTTGTTTGTTCAGTCAATGCGCCTTACCTTTACAAGCACAAATCCCTTGGATACATTCTAAGATTCAAGAGAAGTACAGCATTTGTTAGGGACAAAAGGAGAAAGACCGGATAGGTTAGTGGTATAAAGACCCTCCATAGAATGCCCCCTCGCTTAAAATGGTCCTGTTAGTGTATAGGGGTGGTTATGACGTAACTAATATCTATAATAAACCCTTTTTACTAATACGACGGCCATCTTGAATTCTATTGTTTTAAGTATCGACTCCGTAAGAAACTATGGGATGCCCAGGGACACTAAACAAGAAATTTATAGACTAAGTGCGCTTTCCATTTGTCAGAACTGGCTGGCCAGACCCAGTGAAAATGTCATTATATATCATTCCCATTTAGTTAGGAAATTCAAATTTTCAAATTCTGTCTACTATTCTACAGAAAACCTCGAAATGACTGAAAAATGTTGACAAAAAGCATCATATACCTCTAAATAGAGTGRACTGGCCGGCCAGTTCTGCCTAAATGGAAAGCACCCTCAGTGTTAAAAACATGACGCATTTGAATGTTGTGAAGAATTAACTTATATTTTAAAGTCCGCAATTATTATTGAGAGAAATGTTCCTGTACTATTCTATATGACAATGTGTGCCTTGCCCCTGACCATCCCATAATTTCTTCAAAATTCAAGATGGCGCCCGTATTGGTAAAAAGGTCTATTTGTGTATAATCATTAGAATACCTGGGATGCTGAATGTCGCTGTGGTGAGGATGGCCTTGTTGTAAGATACCTCGTGCCGTAATATAAACTGAAACAACAATTCCTCGTTACGTCATCGCCGCCATGTTGAATGACGATAACAAAGCATTCCTCATTAGTTTCGCTTGTTCAGTCATTCAACATGGCGGGGATAGTTTTGTTATTTAATTCTCGAGTGATTCATGATCATGTGTTTGAAACTTCAAAATATAGAAATTGTGAGGATATGGCAAATCTTTTTTTTAGTGTTGAGATGCTTTGAGATGCAAGTCTGTTATTATCAAAAGAGAAACACATCAATACTGTCAAAATAACATTCTATTTTTTTTGTTTTTGAAAGATTACTTATTTCATTCCCACTTTCCCCTACGCCCCCCGCTCAGGCATCTAAGAATTCAAGATATGGCGGTCATATCCGTTTAGTAAATTGATTAATTAATAGGACGAATCTTACGCTTATTTTGTATCGACATCCCATGTACATGATGTTTCTTCCACTTCGATCCGTTTCATTGAAGTGGACGTATTCCGTCGTGAGCTATAGCAAAATAATGATAAATATATGTTAGTTCGAGTTGTAAAATAATGATAAATATATGTTAGTTCGAGTTGTAACAGTATTTCGATTTTAAAGCATGTCACGTGTTATTTCGCGTTTTGTTTCTGTTGCTGTAATTGTGTTATTAAAAGATTTTCAACGCAATTCCATTTCTATCGGTTGTTACTTGTTGATATAATTTGCTTATCCATTCATGTCTAACTACCCCTTCTAAACTTGATCCTCTCTGTCCTCTGTTTCGCTTATTCTCTTTACAATCCCATCACAGTTGCCCCTGTTGGTTGCATTACTCAGCTCTCTAGCTACTCTGATATTAAAGAATCATAACCAACCGCCGCACCTAGCCCGCTCGTATTATTGCTTACATACGTTTAAATGCGTCAAGCATACAATAGATTATAGATTGATTGTGCGGTACTTAGCTAAAGGTATTTCGTCCAAACTGAAAGGACGGAAGACGATTCGCGCTCACTTTAAGAAATCCTACGAATCCGCCATTTTCGTGTCCACCTAAAATGACGCTTCGGCTCGCAAGGTACGGCGGTTGGTTATGATTCTTTAAGTAATTCATCTTAACTGGATGTACCAAACATCAACAAACCTCACGGGGAAATTTGCTTATCGAGGATCCGATGCCGAAGCGCCCACAGTCTGATAATGAACTGTACAGCGGCTTTACTTCAAGTTGAACTGCATTTAGTGGAAGGGTATATTTATCTGTCAAAAGAAATCGAATCATTAATTCATTAATTCATAATCAATCATTAATTAATTTCTCAATTATCACCAAAATCGTTTTTATTATTAACATGATCATGGAATAATCGAGTACAGTCAACTCTCGCCTTACGGACACCCCGCTACAACGGACATCTCCATATTGCGGACAGTAAAATACTGAATCCCTGGCGAAAAATACAAAGAATGACTGAAAGTAACTCTCGTTATTACGGGGACTCTCGCTACTGCGGACACTAAATTACGGTCCCGAGGGTGTCCGTAATAGCGAGGTTGACTGTACTAGGAAGTATTTTCTTTTCCAAGGTTTTGTTGGTCCAGGAGGAGCCGACGGGGTCTGTTCTTCTAAATAACTGTTCTTGTACGAATTTTTTCCTGGAAAAGGAATTTTTAGCTACATTGTTGACAATCTCACAAGCAATTGTGGCGCCCTTCCTTCTTTAAAATACGTTTGTTCCCAGAAAACGTCTTTAATGTCAAAAGATGCTTATATAACGTTTATATGGTCAAAAACGGCTATTTTTTATGGAAAATTTTATTTTCCTGGCAGAAACTCATAGAAAGTATTTCTTGCTTGGAGAGTTCTTTTTTCCTGAATTTCTCGCTGGCAAGCAGTTGTGACTTACAGTTGGCTGGGATATAAGAGCACTATATATTTCTCCCAGGAACCCGTCGGCTCCTCCTATTTGTCTGACTGTACTTACCCTGATGTACTTTCCAGTAAATCCAGGACTKCGTTAGTTGCTTAGGTCGCCCAAGTTGGGTATTTTGATAAATGTCAGTCGTTACACGAACCCTTAGGTTGGTTACGCTACAAAAGTTTCGTATTATACTTGTTGCATTTAACGTTAACTCGGCATTACAGGTATCTGTTGAAAAAAATGTACATTCGTAAATTACTTTAATATTAAAAATATAAATTGTAAAATTTCTTTCGTCTATTCTCAGTTGTGTTTTTTATTTTCTTTCTCATACTATTTGTAAATATATCCAGTTCTATATATTTGTAAATTAATTATATTCTAACCTATTGAATCCTTTTTATTGCACCGGCCAAGAATAGTTCAAACCAATTGCGAGTAGCAATATTTCTTTGTATTTAATTAACTTCAAATGTAAATGAAGTATTGTTTGTTGTTGCTGTTGTTGTTAAGACATATACAGATTGAATACTATAAGGTGTTTATCACAGAAAAACTTACAGTTTGTTTCGTAGTTTGGACTGAAAGTTGAAAATCCTCGAGTTCCGTACTGTGACATGGCTGCCACTCTCATGCTGTAGTTGGTTTTACTTTGTAATGACGTGCTTGTGAATGAATTGTTGGGCACCTGGATTCGAAAAGTTGAAATTAAGAAAAAAACCTGGGCATGACACTTGTGAAAAACGCACTGCGCATGCCCGMAGCTTTCCCGCCAGTGAGCGCTCGCGTCTTGAAATCTGTAAACAGAGCGCCTGGCGATTTACAGCGACAACACAGAAAACACAACGAAAAACCTCATTTTCTCAAAGTAGAAATAACAAGATAAAAGTAGAAACTACATACTAAAAGAACCTATCATGAACAATAATTGATGGAAATATGAATCTTATATATCGGTGAAAGAGCTTATAAATTATAAAAAACTTTCACAAAAATCGATTTCCAAAGAAAATTAGGGAGATTTCAGCGGGAAAGCTGTGGACATGCGCAGTGCGTTTTTCACAGTGTCCCTGGTCATACAAAGGAAAAACCTGCGGAATAAAAACTAAGAAAATTCGGCACAATCCTCCCCATCTGGCGACCATTATCCTTAGCGTTAAAACAATAGAATGTGACGTAATTACCGTATTTACTCGAATAGACGCCGCGGCGTTTATTTCATTTTTCAAGGTCCAGGTGAGGCGTTTATTAGAGGGCGGCGTCTATTCGGGGGCGGCGTTTATTGAAAAACACTTTATTCAGTACTAAATACCGTACTTTATATTGTATATTTTTAGTAACAAACAGTAACGATTCTCAATATATAAATGTCGCTCATTTTGTCGATTCAATTTGAGATGTCCTCCTCGTGGTCGGAATCTAACAGCTGCTGAGAGCAAAAAAAGTAGTCACTTCGAAATAAAAAAATTGCTGGTATCATTATTTTCGCACCCAGATGCGGCGTCTATTCGGGGGCGGCGTCTATTAATATTTTGGGCTTTAAGTGCGGCGTCTATTTGAGGGCGGCGTCTATTCGGGGAAGGCGTYTATTCGAGTAAATACGGTATGCGATGAGGCTTACCACGTGGTACTTTTGATAGTCTGGTAATATGATCATTGGGTCGTCTTCACTATGGTTTCTCTTTATCTCGACAATGTATAGTACGGGGGTCTCGAGATATATCCCAGGAGACCATGCGACCGTTATATTATTGTGTGTATGGGATAYGAAGTAAGGAGAGTCTGGTACAGGCGGGATGTATCTTAGAATTGCTTGTCTGTCGGGTGGAAGGAATTCTTTATCGGTACTGTTATCTGAGAAAAAAAAATATGTAAGTATACAAAAAATATATTGTATATAACTTCATGAATGGTCAGTTGCTTGAATTACAAAAAGAAAAATAATCATCCTTACAAGAAGWGCATAAAGCACACGTTTGCGCAAATGAAGTAATGCTAAAGCAAACAACCGGTGAACATTCTCTTGACACGCGCCGAAGAACTTTGCAAACATCAAGCACGCGATGTAATCATATTCGACATCAAGAAATTAAGCGAAATCACTATCCGAGCACTGAGCACGCGAATAGGCCTTTCCTGAGATAGCATTTTACATTTCATTGTGGTCTAGATTCGGTACAAACATCTTTGTTCATGCTGCCAAATATGGCGTTGTTTGTACTGAAGCTAGACCACAATGCACCATGATTTTGTATTTCAAAAAAAGGTATATTGAAATCACAAATCAAAGCACCGAATGACAATTTGAACGAACAAAACTTGGGGCATACATTCAGTTGCTAGCCTTACATTTCCGATGATTAAATTAATGGCAATATCACCAAACACGCCTTGTTTATCAAATACAAGCAAAAGAATAATAAAGGATTAATTGACCATGGACGTGGCCGATAGCGAGTCACAATTAAACTTTTAAATTATAGTTTGAAGTGTACGTGATGCCGTGAAAGAAGGCTGCCATTGTGGGAGATAATACTTGTCGATAAGCAATTAATAACAAAAGATTTCAGGTTATTGTAACATAAATACTTCTTGAATGTATAAAATCATAAACTTCCGATTATAATGGATCAGCTTTCAATTTAAGACAACAGCGTAAAGAGAGAGCATAAACTATCTTTGATTAGATAATACATTGTCATTTGCCTTGACTTTTAGTTTTCCGTTCAAAGTTCCAGTTTGATTTGAACGAAGTTTGAATCATATTCCTCAGATAAATCTACTACTTGCATTTTAACCGCTCTGCATTTTTCAATTGTTTTTATCGGCTTTTTTGTTTGTTTGTTTGTTTGCATTTTTAGCAATTCTCAATTAACCTTCACACCTATAGCACTAAAAAAATGTCATAATTTTGCGTGCAACTCAAATTTCTTTATCCAACGAAGTACTGAAACATGTTTCCCAAAGTCAGTTTGACAAATGTTGTATCTCAAACCAAGATCGAAAACATCCGACTTTTACCACACTAAAATGTATCAAAAATGCGATAAAAATAGCTCAAGACATTTCTTACCTGTTTTAGTTAAGTTTACTAATCGGTTGCAACAGATATTACATGTTTCTACACTAGGGATCTAGAAAGACAAACATACATGAGCACTTAACATTTTCACACAGCACACGTTCTTGATGAAATGAGCTACAAGTAGCTTTTCTACGATGGCCGGGATTTACAGATATTAAGCTAAATTCAGTGATTTTTCATGTGTATGTTTAGAATTAAACAGCCATTTTCCACTTCAATAATCTGTTTTTACAGCTGAGAGGGATTTCATTGACTTCGAAATAAAAAGAAACAACGGAAACCATACCAGAGATTATCTGAAAAAATCTTGACTGTAATACTTGATATTAAAATCTTTCGAATCTTTTTAATGATTTGATGTCTGATCAGAGGGAAAAGTGTTCTTTTTATAATCTTGATATTACATAAACAGATAAAAGACGATTCGACATGTGCTGATAAATTCAATGTTTTCATTAATATTTTTGCTCGTCTTTCGCCATTTTTTATCCATTTCGCCATGTCTGTAAGTAACATGAGTGTAGTCGGTTTCGAAGACACTTTTGTTATTTTGCAGCAATTTAGAAATGTATATTTTTTTGTAAAGAACTTTCTATTTTTCAAAAATATTAGCCACAATTTTCACGTTCAATGGTAGGCTGCTTACTTTAAGCGAATACAGTTTAGCGATTAAGGCTGTAATCTAATGATTTGTGTTCCAAGTATACACCAGTAATACATAAATAACTAAAATTACCCATGATGACAGCCATACCCAAAATACTAGCTAATACTAAAAAAAAAACACAAAACCGCGGACTTATTTCCCTTTTTTCAATATCTACTAACTCTATCCACATAAATAAAATTCTAAATTTGTCACATATTGTTTAATACAATAAAGTAGAATTTATTTCAAATCATTTACAATTAAAAGTAGTTTGAACGTTGATTCTCTCACAACATACCTTGCCAAAACATTTCTTTATGCAGAAATCCGTAGCGTTGTCCGTCGCAACCCAACGAGACATCAACCCAAGGAAAATTCCAATATGGGCAAGGAGTCTCATGCTTTTTTCTGTCACAAAATATACGTAAATAGCGGTTAAATTGCTGTTAAGCGCTTGGTTCATATGTTTTTCCTCTTGCCTTTACATTATTCCGTTAATCGATGTGTGCTCGAAGAGTTTAGGGTTACCCGCGCCATGATAGTCGACCAGGATATGGTTTAAATTTACAATTATAATTAAAAGATATTCTTATTTGTATCTGTGATAGGAAATATAACATTTTAAGATACGATTGATGATATGATAAATATTACCTTGACTGGATCGCGTCTTTGCGCTAACGAAATCATTGATCCCTAGAATCGAGTGATTTTAGTCCAACCGTACTGACGAGTCGTTCAATGCTGTGATTGGACGTAGGTCTTTGGGCGTCGGTCTTTGTTTTTACCGACACTTTATCTATACAGAAAAAAAATATCTAGTTAATTTGACACACAAGTYATACAGAACTGAAAATTGAGTTATCAGCTATCAGTGTTGAACTAAACCTAGTATATTTAATAAAAATGAAAAAATAAAATAAAATACAAATAGAACAATTCTGTCTCTAGAAAGAAATTATACAATACAAATTAACGCAAAACTCTATAACTTTGTTTGATGTAGTTAACTGTAAAAGATGATAATTTAACAGGATACTGGGTTTATTTGAAACACAAAAACATACTCCACTAGCTATTGTTTTAGACAATACAACATATTTTAACAAATTAATTATATTTTACGTTAATTACATTGAATACGATTAAATTGTGTAATACAACTAAGTGTTTTTGGTAGTTYAGTACTGGAGCTAAGCAAAAATCTAAAAAACGACGTAGAATTATTTGAGATACGTAAAATGAAAATAATAAAATAAMAAATTTCACTGTTTCATCTTCCATGAGTGATTTGTGAATTATAGGCGCTATATTCMGTTCAAAACTGTCATTTCAACGAAATTATTAGAAGGACACAAAAAAACAACAACAACAAAAACAAAACAGACGCGTAAACAAGCAAAGTTCATCATAACAGCTACAAAATTCGCAATAGAAAAAATACTTATTTCAATAAGCAATGTGCAGTTAAGTCCATTTTGAGAGTAAAGGACTTGCGGAAAAGTAGTCGTGGCATCTTTTTATAAGTTTTCTTTACTGGAACGATTCTTAATGAATTTCTACTAAGAAAGCACAGAGACGGATCGCGAATAATATTGTTGAGGAAATRAAATGACTTGATTTTCCATCCTGCTTTGCGGTAGGATGCTGAACAATGAGTATTCTGTACAGCGGTAGTGCTATTGTTCTTATGTATGATTGCATTTATGTTAGATCACCGCAGAAACTAGTATTACAAGGAAATGATTCTAAAATCAAGTGTGCCTTGCATGGAGCAGAATTACTAACTTTTCGCGGAATATTAATTTCAAATGTGGTCGAGTCCTTTTTGTCTTAAACATTACTAAATAAGATGGGAGCACTTCTGGGAAATAAGTAATGCTTGTGTTTGGTTGTGTTATGGTTTTAGTTTTAATTTCTTCAACACCATAATACATCTCGTGGAAAATCAAACAACGCTACTAATATAATCCCAATGTTTACGGCCTCCCCCCCCC